CCGTCCTGCCAGCGAAGCTGACCCTCACCGCCGCCGCCACGAAGCCCCTCTTGCCACCGACCGTGGGGAGACATCGCCGAGCCGGCTCTGCACCGGTGATGGGGGAGAGGTGAGGGGGTCCCCATGGGTGGGTGGGGTGTGGGGGGGGTCACCATCACCCCAAAATCCCCCCCACCCACCCTGCGGCAGGTCCTCGGCGCGGTAGACGCGGAGCTGGAGCGTGGCGGTGCACGGTGGTGGCCTCAGCAGGTTGGCTTCCACGTCCTTGTCCTCTGGTGGCTCCTCCTGGTCCTTTTTTGGGATGGGGAGGTGGGAAAAAATTGGTGGACCCCCCCCAACTTTGGGTGTTGGGGGGGTGGTGGTGGTGAGGATGGAGGGGGACACACTCACCATCATCTTCTCGCCGGCGCGGAGGACGGCCAGGCTGACGCGGAGGTACCCCCGGGACACGGTGTCGGGGTGCCCGGGGTGCTGCAGGCTCAGCCACTTCCAGCTCAAGCTGTGTCCTGGAAAAAGTTTGGGGGGGACACCCCCTTCCATCAGCATCACCCCGCTGCTGTCACCCCCGGGTGTCACCTCAACCTTCTCACCTACCCGGAGCGCGGTAGACGGTGCCAACGTCCAGCTGTGGGGGACGGCAATGGGGTGAGAGTGGCCCAAGGGGTGGTGTGACCCCCATCCCACCACGTTCCAGAGTCACCTTCCTCACCTGGAAGACCCCGATGACGGCGTTGGCGCGGGTGGCCCGTGAGTCCAGCACCTGTGACACGGTGAGGGACACGGCCATCAGTGGCCACCCCGTTGTCCCCCTCCCCACCGGTGTCACCAATTTCCACCCCCCGACCTGGATGCGGATGGGCTCCGCTGCCAGCTGGGAGGGCGTCCCGTGGAAATCTTGGCAAAACACCTAGAAACGGGCAAAACATGGTGAGGGCGGGGGGTGAGGGGACACCGACGGGTCCCTGTGTCCCCTCCCCGTGGTCACCTCGTTGTAGTAAGGGTTGTTCCCCACCCGGATCCTGGTCCTGAAGCGGTGCTGGCCGATGAGGACTGTCACCACCGGCTTGATGGCATTGCCCTGGAGCTGGTGGCCCTCGATGATCCTCACCCGTACCTGTGGGACAGGGGGTGACACGTCAGATGGGATGTCACCCCTGGGTGCCACCCCCCACCCCCCATGGGACCCCTACCTGGAAATCCTCTTTGCTCCCCCCTGGGGGCTTGTCGGGGAGGTGGGGTGACCCCGGGGACATCACTCGTGGTGGCACTTGCAGGGGGATGGTGGCATCCTCAGCCGTGCCACGGGGGACGTAGGAGCAGCGGAGGGTGACAGTGCACTGCAAGGGGACAGGTGGCACCCCAGACCATGCCTGGTGGCACCCTGGGGTGCTGCTGGGTGGGTGCTCACCCCCGTGGGTTGTCCCCGAGGGTCCAGCAGCGGGACGTCACTGAGGGCCAACGGCAGCCCGGGGTCGGCCACCAACTGGTCCAATGACACTGTGGTGGCACCCAGGTCCCTGCGGGGACAGGAGGAGATGGTGAGGGTGGACACCCCTGGAGGTGGTCTCCCCTGGGGTGCCCACCCATGGGTGCTACTCACCCCCGTGGGGCCGGCTGTCCCCAGTGCCGGAGGCGCAGGGTCAGGCTGGCCGTGGGGTGCAGGGGACGAGCGCCCAGTGGCCATGCCAGCGTCTGGGGGAGGAAGTGACAAGGGGTTGGTGGGGTGACCCGAGTGTCCCCGTGCCACCGCGGGCCACCCTGGGGTCACCTCACCTCGTTCCAGGTGGGATTGTGCTCCTCTGGCACCACCCGGGTGCTCCTGGGGACCCCTGGAGGGGAGGAGGACAGGAGGGAGGGTGGTGACACGTCGGGGTGGGGACATCATGTCTGTGTGTCCCCACGTCACATGTAGGGATGGCCAGTGCTGTCCCCAGGGATGGCCAGCATCATCCCATCATCCCATCACACGAGGATGCCACCCAGGATGGCCGATGCCATCTTGTCACGCAGCGGTGGCCAGTGCCACCCTGTCCCATGGGGACGGCCACCGCTGTGTCCCCCGCTCTGTCCCCCACGGGTACCTCTGAAGCGGGCAGACACGTGCACGCCGGGCCCGGAGCCGGTGGCCCTGGGGATGTGGGCACTGGCCACCAGCAGCCGCAGCATGGCTGTGTCCCCATGCCACGCTGCCACCAAGATGCTGTCACCCCGGCACCGGGAGGAGTTCCAGAATGGCAGAGTGGGGGGGGGGAATGGGGCAGGGACACTGCTGTTGGCTTGGCTTGGTGGGTGTCACCGTGTCACCACGTGCCCATGTCTCTGTGCTCCTGTGTCCACATGTCCCTGTGTCCCCATGGCTGTGAGCAACCATGTCACTATGTCACTCTGTCCATGTGTACCCATGTTAATGTGCACCCGTGTCTGTGTGTCATGCTGTCCCCGTGTCCCCATGCCCATGTGTACCTGGGTCTGCGTGTCCTCATGTCACCGTGTCCCCATGTCTGTATGTCCCCACATCACTGCATCCCTATGTCCACGTGTCCTCATGTCCCTGTGTCCTCATGTCTGTATGTTCTCATGACACCCCATCCCCATGTCCCTGTGTCCCCATGTCTGTATGTGCCCACATCACCCCATCCCCATGTCCATGTGTCCCCTTGTCCCCATGTCCATACATCCCCATGTCACTGCATCCTCATGTCCCTGTGTCCCTATGTCTGGATGTCCCTATGTCACCCCATCCCCATGTCCATGTGTCCCCTTATCCCCACGTCCATGTGTCCCCATGTCACCCCACGTCCATGTGTCCCCATCTCCCCATGTCCATACATCCCCATGTCACCCCATCCCCACGTCCATGTGTCCTCATGTCCCCGTGTCACCCCATCACCATGTCCGTGTGTCCCCATGTCCATGTGTCCCTACCTCCCATGTGTCCCTCTGTCCCCATATTACTGCATCCCCATCTCCATGTGTCCCCATGTCCTTGTGTCACTGCATCCTCACGTCCATTTGTCCCCGTATCCCCACATCCATGTGTCCTCACATCACGACATCCCCATGTCCGTGTGTCCCCATGTCCTTGTGTCACTGCATCCCCATGTCCATTTGTCCCCATGTCCCTGTGTCCTCATGTCCATGTGTCCTCACGTCACTACATCCCCATGTCCATTTGTCCCCATGGCTGTGTGTCCCCACGTCCATGTGTCCCCACGTCCATGTGTCCCCATATCACTGCATCCCTATGTCCATGTGTCCCCATGTCACTGCATCCCCATGTCCATGTGTCTCCATGTCCCTGTGTCCCCATGTCCCCACATCCATGTGTCCCCGTGTCCCCATATCACTGCATCCCCATGTCCATGTGTCCCCATCTCCCTGTGTCCCCATGTCCTTGTGTCACTGCATCCCCACGTCACCGCATCCACATGTCTATTTGTCCCCATGGCTGTGTGTCCCCATGTCCGTGTGTCCCCATATCACTGCCTCCCCATGTCCATGTGTCCCCATGTCCCTATGTCCCCACGTCCATGTGTCCCTCTGTCCCCATATCACTGCATCCCCATGTCCCTGTGTCCCCACGTTCACGTGTCCCTCTGTCCCCACATCACTGCCTCCCCATGTCCATGTGTCCCAATGTCCCTATGTCCAACGTCACCCCATGTCCACGTGTCCCCATGTCCTTGTGTCACTGCATGCCCACGTCCATGTGTCCCCATGTCCTTGTGTCACTGCATCCCCATGTCCATTTGTCCCCATGTCCCTGTGTCCTCATGTCCATGTGTCCTCACGTCACTACATCCCCATGTCCATTTGTCCCCATGGCTGTGTGTCCCCACGTCCATGTGTCCCCACGTCCATGTGTCCCCATATCACTGCATCCCTATGTCCATGTGTCCCCATGTCCATGTGTCCCCACATTCATGTTGTTCCCGTGTCCCCATGTCACTGAGTCTCCATGTCCATGTGTCCCCATGTCCCTGCATCCCCACATTCATGTTGTCCTCGTGTCCCCATGTCACTGCATCCCCACGTCCATTTGTCCCCATGTCCCTGTGTCCCAACATTCATGTGTCCCTGTGTCCCCATATCACTGCATCCCCATGTCCCTATGTCCCCACGTCCATGCGTCCCTCTGTCCCCATATCACTGCATCCCCATGTCCCTGTGTCCCCACGTTCACGTGTCCCTCTGTCCCCACATCACTGCCTCCCCATGTCCATGTGTCCCAATGTCCCTATGTCCACACGTCCATGTGTCCCCATGTCCCCATGTCACTGCATCCCCATGTCCATGTGTCCCCGTGTCCCCATGTCATCACTGCGTCCCCATGTCCATGTCTCCTCATGTCCCTATGTCCCCATGTCCCTGTGTCCCCACGTTCATGTTGTCCCCGTGTCCCCATGTCACTGCGTCCCCCATGTCACTGCGTCCTCACGTCCATGTGTCCCCACGTCCCTATGTCCCCACGTCCATGTGTCCCTGTGTCCCCATGTCCCTGCGTCCCCATGTCCATGTGTCCCCATGTTCATGTGTCCCCATATCACTGCGTCCCCATGTCCATTTGTCCCAATGTCCCTGTGTCCCCACGTTCATGTTGTCCCCGTGTCCCCATGTCATCACTGCATCCCCATGTCCATGTGTGCCCACGTCCCTATGTCCCCACGTCCCTATGCCCCCACATCCATGTGTCCCTCTGTCCCCATATTACTGCACATCCCTATGTCCCCCACATCCATGTGTCCATGTCCCTGTGTCCCCACGTCCATGTGTCCCCATGTCCCTGTGTCCCCATGTCCCTATGTCCCCATGCCCATGAGTCCCCTGTCCATGTGTCCCAATGTCCCTATGTCCACACGTCCATGTGTCCCCATGTCCCCATGTCACTGCATCCCCATGTCCATGTGTCCCCGTGTCCCCATGTCATCACTGCGTCCCCATGTCCATGTCTCCTCATGTCCCTATGTCCCCATGTCCCTGTGTCCCCACGTTCATGTTGTCCCCGTGTCCCCATGTCACTGCGTCCCCCATGTCACTGCGTCCTCACGTCCATGTGTCCCCACGTCCCTATGTCCCCACGTCCATGTGTCCCTGTGTCCCCATGTCCCTGCGTCCCCATGTCCATGTGTCCCCATGTTCATGTGTCCCCATATCACTGCGTCCCCATGTCCATTTGTCCCACCATGTCACTGCATCCCCATGTCCATGTGTCCCCGTGTCCCCATGTCATCACTGCGTCCCCATGTCCATGTCTCCTCATGTCCCTATGTCCCCATGTCCCTGTGTCCCCACGTTCATGTTGTCCCCGTGTCCCCATGTCACTGCGTCCCCCATGTCACTGCGTCCTCACGTCCATGTGTCCCCACGTCCCTATGTCCCCACGTCCATGTGTCCCTGTGTCCCCATGTCCCTGCGTCCCCATGTCCATGTGTCCCCATGTTCATGTGTCCCCATATCACTGCGTCCCCATGTCCATTTGTCCCAATGTCCCTGTGTCCCCACGTTCATGTTGTCCCCGTGTCCCCATGTCATCACTGCATCCCCATGTCCATGTGTGCCCACGTCCCTATGTCCCCACGTCCCTATGCCCCCACATCCATGTGTCCCTCTGTCCCCATATTACTGCACATCCCTATGTCCCCCACATCCATGTGTCCATGTCCCTGTGTCCCCACGTCCATGTGTCCCCATGTCCCTGTGTCCCCATGTCCCTATGTCCCCATGCCCATGTGAGTGAGGGGGTTCTGTGGGGCAGGGGAGGGTTCTGTGGGGCTGAGAGGCCTGTAAAGAGGCTAAAGGTATCTTGAGGGGCCTGTAAGGGGAGAGTGAAGGGGGCCTGTGGGGCTGAGAGGCCTGTAGAGGGGCTGGGGGTATTCTGAGGGGCCTGTGAGAGGAGAGAGGGGGGGGTCTGTGGGGCTGAGAGGCCTGTAAAAAAGCTGG